TTCCTGGCCATGATCGAGAGGCAAGCTGAGGTGTCATCGGCGTTAATCAAGGTACTGCGCACAGACGGAGGAACCGAATTCCTAAACAAAGACTTTCGGAAACTAGCGCGCAATCAAGGCATCCTCATGCAGCACACGACACCATACACGTCGTTCCAGAACGGAGTAGCTGAAAGGAATATCCGAACCGTGACCGAGACAGCAGCTGCAATGCTCGTGGACTCAGGTTTGCCACATAAACTATGGGAGTACGCTCTGCAGCATGCGACGTACATACGCAACCGAATTCCTCGTCGTGGAGCCGATGTCACCCCACATGAGCGCATATTTGGACAGCGCCCCGACGTGCACCTTCTTCCGATATTTGGTCAAGCGGTCGTAGCTCGAGTTCCAGACCAGATCCGCCGAAAGGCGAAACGATTCGTGGATACTCGAGGACAGCTCGGCGCGTTTATCGGATGTGCCGAGGACATCAAAGGATTTTGTCTACACTAAAGGCACGTCGCGAGCAATATTCGCTTCCAGGGACGTCTCTGTTATTGACCGCATGTTGTTCGAAGTTGACCCCAGCGCAGAAGATGATGACATCGTTGACGAAAGTGGTGATGATGAAGAAGAAATTGATCAACAGAACCAGCAAGATGATCGTGAAGGTGCATTCCCTTCGGTGCTAGCCGCAGTCAGGCGATCTCAACGCATAGCCCGTCGCACAATGGCCCAAGCTCAAGCATTCTACGTACTGGGGGAAGTGATCAAGGAACCTTTGAACCTCGCAGAAGCTGCCGCAGTGGACGCAGTGGAAACAAGCAATTGACGAAGAAGTGGAAACGCTGTTTGCCAATAGGACATTTGAATGGGTACACCCTCCTGCGGGCGTACGAGTTCTCGATCATACGCTGCAATTTCGCTTAAAGACAGGGGCTGAAGGAAACGTGGAGCGCTTCAAAGCGCGCCTCTGCGCTCGAGGCGACAAGCAGTTGTGGATCATACATTTCCTCGAAACCTACGCGCCAGTCGCCGGACTAGTCACAGTTCGAGTTTTCTTCGTGATTGTGGTGAAACTCAAGCTGCGAGTACGTCAAGGTGACGTGCCTGCTGCTTACGTGAAAGCCAACCTTGCGGAAGAGCTTTATATGAAACCAGTTCCGGGATATGCACAGCGAGGTGACGATGGGAAGGTTTGGCGGCTTCGAAAAGCCTTGTATGGTTTGCGTCAAGCCAGACGCGAATGGAACAAGGAAATTAACGCGTTCTTGGTTGACTTTGGTCTAACACCAACCCAGAGTGATCCTTGCCTATACTACACATACGTGGCAGATACTCTGTTGCTCGTGTGCGTGTACGTGGACGACATCCTAGTTGCACATGAGCAAGAAGAACAATGCTTCCGTCTTATGAAAGCGCTCAACTTGCGATACCAAGTCAAGGATATGGGCACGCCACATCAGTTCCTGGGTATGAAGGTGGATCGCACTGCAGACGACATGATATTAGTGAGTCAGACCGCCTACATTGATGAGGTGCTTCATCGCTTTGCGATGGACGAAATACGGCCAACGCACCTACCCATGGTGGCAAATACGAGACTGGACTTCGCGGATGACGGTCCGACAGAAACGGAGCGCGCGATCATGGCAAAATTTCCGTAAAAACAAGTGGTAGGAGCTCTGCTCTACCTAGCACGGGTTTCCAGACCAGACATCATGTTCGCGGTTAGTCAGCTCGCGAGACACGCAGCTACTCCGCGGAAGCCGGCTTGGGATGCCGCAAAATATCTCCTACGCCACCTTCGTGCAACCAAGGATTTGCACTTGAAACTTGAGCCGACCAACGACGACATCGTCGTGGTCATGGACGCGGACTGGGCAAACGATCGCGTGCACCGGAAGAGTGCTTCGGGCTGTGTGGTGTACCTGTTTGGATGTCCGGTAGCTTGGACAAGCAAGAAG